GGATTTAACCTTATAGGTTAGTAGTATTTACTATACTCCCGATATACCTAGTAGAGATCGGTATACTTAGGCACGAATCCGGGACTATTAGCGACCTAATATAGTTAATTACTCTATTCGCTACCCGCGCTATCGTCGTCCTTAGAGTCTATAAAACCCTTAGAGTTCCCCTTAGTATAGTAGTACTTAGGCTCTATATTAGCTTCGTCTCCGGATATAGGCTTAGCGGCGGCTTCTTCGGCGGAGGCGTTAATCTAGTCTTTAGGGCGGTCGTGGCGATAGTCTCTATATCGGCGATTAGACTATTTATTAGCGTTATTAGTGAGGAGCCGCTAACCCTTATCGTTAGTATAATAATTAGCGTTTAGCGTAGGAAGCACGCGATTCTCGCTTTAGCGACGGAGCTAGTTAGGGCTAGGGGAATAGCGGTTAGGCTATAGTATTCGGTGGCGCTCGGACGTTAAGCGTCTATTATAGTACCGCAGCGCAGGTTACTAAACCACCATAACAGGGGACGGAGCGCTATATATTCCGTGGTCCGGTTTAGGAAGGCTTTATTAGCTAACGTGGTGCTTCTAGACTCTTTAGGTGTAGTTCCGGTACTATCCTGGTATTAGGTTCGCTAGAGAGTTTAAGAAGTCGGCTGACTTTACCTTAGGGCCTAGTCGGACCACGGTCGCGGCTAGGTTAGCGTTAAGCTTATCCTAAATAATAGATAGGAGCTTTCCTTAGGGTTTATCGGTAGCCTTCGCGAGTCGGGCGATACTATCCGCGAATACGCGGATATCACAGCGGTTCACGATATCTTCTAGGGTATACTTTTCCCTACGTAATCGGTACTCGGCTTCTTCGCGCGGGAGCCGGAATTGGCTCTTTAACCTATCCTTCTAGTTCTTTAGGGTGGCGTTCTTATTATACTATTCGCGGAGTCTAGGGTCTATAGTTATTAGCTATTTAGAGGCTTTACCTAGTAGGTAGCGGGAGATACCGCGGGTAAGGGCTTCGCTATGCCCGGGGCTTATCCCGGCGTATTACTCTATAGCGTCCGTGAAGCGGAATACGTCGAGGAAGACTAGCTTAGTGCCTTCTATACGGATATCCTGGGTGGCGGTAAAGTATTCTAGTAGGTTAAAGTATCCGAGGTCGTCCGCCTTAAAGCGGACCTGGGGTTACTACGACTATAATCCGCGTTAGCGTTCGCCGATAATAGCTAGTAAGTCCGACTAGCGTATATACGTTTAGTCTCCGCCCGTAGAGGGCGGTTAAGTAGGCGCCGGAGGAGGAGGAGGAGGAGGCGTTTTATCCGGCGGACCGGTGCTTTAGCGGACGTTCTAGCGGCTAGGCCCGGGGGCGCTAGACACCATACTCTCGGAGTTAACCGGGTAGTCGGCTAAAAAGGCCCGGTTAAGGGCGTCGGACGTTTAGCGTTTTATAGCGTTCGAATAGCGAATAATAGTCTTAGTAGGAGATACGTAGGACGTGGGCGATTAGTATAAGAAGGATTTACTTAGGGAGTATATTAGTTCCTCCTCCTTAATTACGGGCTCCTGATCTATAGCCTTTATAGTAGGACGGATAGGGAGTGAGGTAGGCTTTGTTATAGTGAATAACGGTTCCCCTGGCTCTCCCGTGATCTTAAGGCGATGCCGACTACCTAGCTCTTATATCCTAAGCCCTATTATAATAAGCTAGGCGGAGCTAGGCAGAGTAAAGCTAGTACTAATAAGGCTAGTACTAGCGAGGCTCTCTCCGATATAGTTAATTAGGTTAGCCTCGGAATCTAGCTCGCCCGTATAGGGAGTGGGACTAGCAGTAAATAGTCGTATAGGTTATTTCCCCTTAATATCGCGGGGTTCTCCTATGCCCGCTAGGATCTCCCTATAAGTAGGTTCTCTATTAAGCTATTTTTCGAAGGCGTCCACGAAGTTATCCGGTCTTCGGATCAATTTTTTTAGGTAGGATACGTCGGACACGGACTCCGATCGCGAGATTCTTCCTCTTAAGGTTAGGCCGCTCGCGCCGGCTATCCTTAGAGCGTACACGGCCCTCCTAGCTATATTAAGCAGAGCTATATCTTCGGGCGTAAGGAGATTAGCGATAGGGTCCGGGAAATTATCTAAGAACTTCATAAGATTTTTCGCGCTTTTAGCGCTTCGCGGATAAGGATAGTCGTTAAGGAGGTTTACGTCGGTTATAATAGCGGAGCTTTAGGTTCCACGGCGATTTTTCGTTTAGTAGAGTTAGTATAGTCGCTGAACCTGTGTACGAATAGTAGGCCGTGGTTCTTATATACTCTACGCCTGGTTCTAGTAAAGGAGAGGCGTCTTTACTCGGCGTGCCGATAGTCGTATAGTTTTATCGGTATACTATATATCTATATAGTCGTAGGATATATAGCTCGCGTTAAGCGGCGATACGCGAACCTCGCTTAAAAGCTTAGTTACTACTATTTAATATACCCTATCCAGGTATATCTCTGGCTAGCCAGTACTGTCGGACCTAGGGCTTTTAGGGTTCGGAATAGCGACCTTTAGGTATAGAAAATAGGGTGTAATAAAGATAATCTTTCTAAACTAAGGGGGAACCGCACCGAGGATATATCCCTTAGCCAGTTCGGCCTAACTATAATCCATACTACCGATCCTACGCTATACGTACGGATAGTCCAGGCGCTATTCGTTCTCTATCTATACGAATGGTGCTGGAGCTATACGTTCCCTATCCGAGCGAATAGCTCCCGCGCTATCCGTTCTATAGTAGGACGGATAATGCCAGCGCCATTCCTGCGGTGGCTAGGGAATAGGGCGTATCACTATCGGTATCCTTCTTCGCGCTTACGTAGTCTTAAGCATATTTATCGTAGTTCCGTTTAAACTAATAACCTTTAAGTTTCCCGGCGATCTCTTATACGCTGTTAACCTATATAGTATAGTGGTTAGTAGGGATACGGGCGGAGATAAGCTTATCCCTAAGTCGCGGGGTAATCGCTCCTTTAAGGAATAAGATCTATATAGTAGCTTCCTATTTAGTACCGTCCGTAAAGGTAATCTATCTTTTAAAATAGGGCGGGAAAATGGTAAATAACTTATCGGACTATTAACGAATTATACGTAAGGCTTAGGTAGCTCACGATTATTCTATAGAGTTAAGGTAGGTATAATTAAGATACGCTATAAAGTCGTTAGGGTCTATAAGTTTACCCGGTCTATTACTTTTATAGAAGGCCGATACGACTTATTATACTTCGGGCCCTAAGTAATTATAGATTATATACTAAGCTTATATATTATTCTAGAATAGGTCGCTATTAATTATACGCTTCTGCCGTATCGTGTAGGCCTATACGCTATAGTGCGCTCGCTTCCCTAAGAACTTCGTAGGGCTATCGATAGTCTTACGGGGTACCGCCGTTAAGGTTAGGGCGGCCGCTATTATTATCGGCTATAACGCCGGCGATAGAGTCGGTGATAGGGTAGATTCTACTAGTATAAAGATTATCGGGGTCTATAAGGGAGCCGGAATACCTAGGTTAGGCGGTATTAGGTTCTATGGGGTAGGCGATCCTAAAATCCGGGCTATAAGCTATTTGACTAACTAGCGTTATCGCTTATTAGCTTTTTCTCTCGCGCGTTATCGGTTAATAAACTAGCGTATTTCCGAGTAATATTCTTATATCGGAGTAAGCCTTATATTAATATCGGTATATTATTTATAGAGAGGGCCTAGCCTTATATTTAGGGCTTAGTTATTTTCTTTAAACCATTGGTTCGTCTACTCCGCGACCTATTTAATTCTAATAGGTTATTAGGCGGCAGCGTTAGGATCCTAGTCTATCGCTAGCGTAGCGCATGGGTATCGCTAAGTTCTAGATATATAAACGACTGGTTATAGGTCGTGGCACTAAGTAAGGTCGTAATAATAGATTATCTAAAACTAAGGAAGGAAGAAGGAAAAAGGGAAAAGTCTATAGCGCTAGGCTAGCTATAAGGTAGTAATAGTTTAGCGATATAGGTCCGTTGACTAAGCGCGTAGTCAGGAAGATCCGGAGTATAGCCGGATCCTCTATATCGGGGTTAACCCGTAATAATAGCCTTATTCGTAGGCGTTATACCTTCTTATTAATAAAGTTAATAGTCTACTAATTATTATAATATAGTTATAGTTATTATTGATAAAGGTTACTTGAAAGCGGAAGAGAGGAAAAATAAAGAAGAGGTAAAGTGGTTGAATTATGTAAACAAGGTCTGCTGTTATTCTGTGGAAGAGAGTATAAAGGAGGGAAGAATATTATCTATAGAAGAGGGAGGTCGAGCTGTATATATAATCCTAGTGGACCCACTTTTCCTAGATACCTCAGAGGTAGAAGGCAGAAAGTCTCGTATAAAGCTTAGGCCCCTTAGAGGCCCTAGGGCCCTGCAGGCTCCCCTAAGCTACTACACGCTTAGGCCTTCGCTTAGACCTTCTATAGGTTCCCCGGAACTATCAAACGCTTACGCCCCTTATAGGTCCTAGTGCCCCTGTAGGCTTACTAAGGCTAGCTAGACGTTTGGTTGCCGAACGAGTAGATTCCTATTTAGGTCGCTAAATAGGTAGGTCTCTGAGTGCGTATATTACTAAGCGTATAGGTTATATAGTTATAGTATAGCTCTACTACTCTTCTATATAGTAAGCTTAGGTTATAGCTTAATATCCCCCTGTAAGCTAATTTTACTATACGGTTACTTCCTGATTAAGTTACTAAGGGAATAGCTCCATAGAAGGCTAGTTTTCCTAAAATAGAGTGAAAAGATATGTGGGGAGACATAACTGTATATGGCTTTGGAGGCTGGGGCTGCTAAAAGTGGAGGCAGCGGACTCCAGGTATGGCAGTATACACACTATATCAGAGCTTGACGGGATCCCGAGTATTCCAGTGGGTATGGTCGTATGTACTGGAACTTTTTAGGAGTTGCCCTTATAGAGGGAGATTTAGGCAAGTCTTCGTTCCCCAACATCAACGTCGCCCCATTCTCGCTTAACTGGAACATTTACGTATTTCATCTGAGAATTCGTCCTCAAAATTCTACCTTTTAAGGAGGCGCGACCACGCGAAGATGTTGGCAATCACCTTCGACTTCAAAAGGGAATGTTATGCCGTACTATGACCATTGACCAGACGGAGGCCAAAATGTGATCGGTCGCAACGGAAGAAACCACGACGGTTCACCAGAGGAAATCACACCACTGATAACTGCGGGCATGGTCAACGAAAGCCGGGACACATACATGGGACCGTAAACCTCTTTTATTTGGTTTCCGACCGATACATCCTTTCCCAGACGACGCCGTAATGCTAATACCAGGGCCTATCATACACTCGTGTCCGTTCTGTCTTCCCTCGTTTTACCGAAGAGTGAAAGAACTGGAAGATGATACTGTGGGAGATTTATTCCCCGCGATACGACCGCTCAGCCGCCAACTGATTCCGCCGATTCAGGCACCCTCTCCGATGCATAGGGCTGTTTGTCTGTCCGACCGGCGGTTTGGTCGTGAGCAACGTCGGCGCGCTTGGAATGAATGGGATCGACGGCACTCGCGCCGACTCCTTCAAGACCTGAGCGATGCTTTCTGTCGCCCTCGTTGCTCGTCTGGCCCGATCCAGGATGACCAAGACCCTTGTGCACATCGGCGCTGGTGGCGCCGGGGAGGGTGTCGGACGCCTCTGTGCGAGTGGTGGTATAGGGGTTGGAGGCCTGTCCCGGCACCTCGTGTTGAGTCTGGGGCTGATAGGTGTTCTCCTTCGGGGCGGTGCCGGGAGGGTGCGTCTCGGCGTGGAATTCTTGGTAGGCATCGTTGCCAACTTTTGTGCCGATGGCGTGCTGGTCCATATGTTAGCGAAATCCAAACGCCTAGAGGGCCTTGCGGAGTATTGCTGTGATGGACAGTATTTCCGGGACTCAGAGAAAGGTAAAACGTACGCCCTTGGTGGTCACAGGCTCAGTGGGAGGAACACGAGATGTGAACTCGCCCTGGTTGGTGAGGGATTCGGGGTTCCTGCTGGCAGACATGATGGATGTTGATGGTATATTGCGAAGCTGCTGATAGGAGGGGAAAGTATGGACAGCGGATTGATTCTTGTGTTGTCGTGGCTATCGTCAATCACCGAGCTGGCACGAACAAGAGGGATAGACGAATCTTATATCAGGAGAACCGTGTGTGTTCTGATGCTAGTGATGTCACAGTGATGATAACATCACAGTTAGAACTGCACCAGGAACTCTCAACTTTATTCTGTCTACCTCGTGCTTACTTCATACAAAAGAACTTTAATACTTCACGTAGTACCCGTATCTCGTTGACTGATTATAGCACAAGCTGCGGCGTGGCCAATGATGTTAGATGGGTGGTGCTACCCTCGGCGTGGACTGTCTCGGAAAGCGGATAGACGATCATGGGCCATAACATCACTGGGACTGCGAACTGCATGTAGTGTATACGTACACGTAGTGTACGCCTCCGTTCAGCCTACCTACATTGCAGACAGAGCTTCTGCTTGATCTTTACGTGTCTTCGTTGTATCCCTCTGGGCAGTCTCTTCTCCTTCTTAAAGCTAGACAAGTTTATACAACAAGAGCAGCGGCCGCACTATATATATTGCCCCCTTACCCATCGTTTTAATGAACTATTTGTCGGGTTGTTCAGAGATGGTAGATGTAGTTGACCAGAATGCAGAATACCATTTATTGACCTCGACTGCTGGGCAGCAAGGAAAGTATGTTCAACTTGTCATCGACAGCGGAATTGCCAAGCCATGCTGAACATACCCTTTGAAAGACATTATGGGAAAGAGACGGCCATAGAGTAGTACGGGATCAACAAGAACTTCACAGCGCCATGTCTGTCCGTTCTACACGTAGAAGGGAAAGGCCTGGGATTTGACCTTTGATTGCTGATAAGTTGGACCACCCGCCTCAGTATCCTACTAGGAAGATATCGAAGCCTGGTGCGTCGCTGTCGCCATTATCTCTTGAGGCTACCTTACGTGCATGTTTTTCAAGATTAGTTGTCCAGTCGCGCCTAGCCTCGAGATGTGTCTTACCCTCTTGTACAGCAGGGGTAGACGGTGGACCATAGATCGAATAATATGATATAGATAGAGGGCATTTAACCGGGTGAATAAGGAGACTGCACAAGATTTGGATAGCGCCACTCAGTCACAACCCAACCCCTGAGTATCTTGCAGATTCTTGATGATAAAGACGTCTTGAGCATAGGGCAGCTTACCGCCAGGCCCTCTGGCCAAGCTAGGGCCTGGGTCGAATCTATCCTAGCTAATGAAACATAAGGTATCATACCGGCGACATAGCCCCTTTTCGACCAACTACCTGGTACTGGCCTCAGCCCCTCCTTCTTCCACTTGATATACCGCAAGATACCGTCGCACACAGTACCTTACCTTACCTACCTATGGAACTGAGTAGGTAAGTACCTTACCTTACTTAAGGTAGGTACCTACCTAGCTAAGGTAAGGTAGACAGAATCATGGTGTTCTTTCCACAGGCAAGTGCGTAGGACCTTCGCTCCTTCCATGTTATGCAATTTTATATCCTCAGTTCCCAGGCAGACAGACGCCTCTGTTCAGTGCCTTCCCGTACAGCCACTCCCAAAGTTGTCTACCTTAAGGTAGGAGAAGAGCAATTACCCATCTAGCTTCAGTAGTGCCCAGGCATCTTTTGTTTGCGCACTCTCTACCTGTTTACGCTTACCTGACCTTCCTAGCTATTCGAACCCGTGCTTCTCACCAAGTCGTCAGCAGCAGCAGCACAGCAAAATGGGAGATCTTTACCGTAATCGATCTCCAGATCGATATCGTCCTCGCGTTTCCTCCAACGCCCAGTCACGCTCCCGATCCCCGCCACGTGCCTTTTTCCAGAACGTGGGCACACAATGGTCCATGAGGGTGACCAAGACGGTCGGAGGGGTTGTGCGGAATGCGGAGTTTGTGAACCGCAGTGGAGGCGGGAATTATAACATAAAAGGCACCCTGCCTGGAGGTGGCCTGGTTGTCCAGACAAAGTCGTCGGCCGGCACCCGGGCATTTGCCGAGGAAGCGTGTAGGGATATGCCTAGGGATGGTGTTGTTCTCATCGCCATCCCTGTATCTTCCGGAGGCATCAAGTGCCCAGGCAACTGGGACAGCTCTGGGCTATTTCCATCCCCGGGGCGTTCTGTAGCCCCCTCGGAACCTAGTGTCCAGCCTGCCGCCGCCTCAACTCACCCCCGGTCCAGTCACTCAGCGCCTCTCGCCCCCAGCCGCACTCCTAAGGCCCCTGGCCACGATACCCCTTCCCAGGGCACACCTCCTCGCGTGGACTTGCTCCCGGGGTGCGGCAACCGCACATCCCTTTTCAAAACCGAGGATCTGCTTATGAAAATTGAACAGTTGCGGAGAGATGCGTCAGGACGTGGCCATTCCAGCCTCCCCCAAGGACTCCTCGCCCAAACTACCCAGATCGCCACCCAAGGCGGAGGCAGCTTGGATACTCAAGCCAAACAGGGGCAACAGGAACGTACAGCTTCCGGTGCCCAGGCAAGCAACGTGACCGCGTCTGTGATCTGCAGGGAGAACAATCGCCACAAGACCTGTGCCAATTGTGGCCGTGTAGGTCACGCCGTCATTGACTGCCTCAAGCCGGGGAAGAGCGGCTTCATCGAGGCCTGTGCCATATGCAACGAACACCACCTCCTGGACAGCTGCTCAGTGTTCCAAAACTACAGTGTCTACCGCAAGTTGGCCTTATGCATCCTCCAACGAGGCCGCCGCCCGCCTCTCGCCACAGCCTTCAACTGGGTTGTCGCCTACTACGGTGTCGTTAAGGTCAGGACGGGCGCCATGGTTCCACCCAAGGGCTGTGTTTGGCCTTCCGACTTCCCTATCACGGCCCAAGAGGCTCGCTCATGGCTATGCAGGCCTGCCGAGCGTCAGCCCTGGAACTACTTCGACTACACCGCCAACCGCACGGGGGACCTAAGTCCTGGTGTCTCAACCTGGTCCTCGGCCGCCGTTCTGAGCAACTGGCACCGACTGAGTCAGACGGAACACTATGCCGATTCGTTTAGTCGCACAGGTTCGGATCTCTCATGACGGCATCGATCCTTTGTCTCGGAAGACCCCAGGGTGAGATAGATGCATTCCCATCCGGCTCCGCCAAGCTCAAACTAATTCGTATGTCGGTAGGAGTGCCCAATGACGACAGCTTTTCCCCGGCTTGTAGAAAGCCAGATGAACGGGGATGTGACGACCAAATGTCCGACACAGAAGGGAAAATGGGGGTTCGCGTACTCGGTACGAGGGGGATCGGGAAATTGCTCGTGTAGGAAAAGCCATACACACGCCGCCCTAGGTATATGGATATAGAACCACCAGATTGACTGGTTCTGGGTAGAAACATGCCGCGTCGGTAAATCTGAGGCCTTTGGTTCTTTGGTTGATATAGATGTGTAATAGTTTAGTCCATTGTAAACAGAATACAGAAATCTATCATACCCTACGTGAAGTGAAATAATACAAGACGATGGAGAAAGAAATATACGAACCCTACAAAAAGCTCCGGTCGGTTCACAGGATTCCGTTATCCGCGCAGCTGAAGGGCCCGCGAATATTATTCTCGTCACTTTGGAACGTGTCCAGGAGCCCAAGAATGGCAGCCCACAGGCCGGCCGTGTTCATAAAGAGAGCAAGGGCCACGGTGAAAACGTTGAGGGCCGTTAGGCAGATCTTGCGCCGATTTAAGAAGTAGCGGCCCCTGTTGAGGTGCAGCCAAAAGACGCCGCTGATGCCGAAGGTAAACCAGGCGATCAAGGCAGCCGAGGAGATGGCGAGGATGGAGTCGAAGATGGGGATGGCGTTGGCGAGTATGAAGACGCAGACCCAGAAGAGGGTCGCGCAGCCTACCCAGACGGACCACGATTTGAACGTCGGGGCCGTCAGCTGGTCCGTGGCGTTGAGCCGGCGCATGACCAAGACGTAAAGGTATTTGACGGCCGAATGCCCGAAGATGAGGCCCGTCACGAGCATCCCGGGCAGGAGGATGCCGTATGCTACTTTCGCCAGGATCAGAGGGGCCGAGCCCAGCGACGGGCTGGTGGTGTACTGTCCCGCCAAGCAGTAAATAGCCACCGCGGCAAGGATGTAGAGCGGGATGGAGAAGCCCTGGAGGATGATGAGGGCGGGGAGGAAGTCGTGCGACGGGTCCTCCATCTCAACCATGTATGTTACGAAACCGGCGTTCCCGGCATAGGCATAGGCGATGTTCAGGCAGGCGCCGAGGCCGTCGCGGAAGCCCGGGTACCCGACGATGTTTCGTTGGGGAGTAAAGCCGGGTTCTGCGCCCTGAGGATTCCCTACGCCGAGGGAAATGATGACGATGAAGACGGGGATAACGACGGATAAGGTTCCGGGGATGCCCATCTTGGCCACGAAGGAAAAGCGGCGCGGCAGACTCAGCAGCCAAAAGGCGACGAAGGCGACGGCCATGAAGGCCACGGTACATAGGGCGTGGTCGGTAATGCTGTTGAGGGCGACCGAGAGGGTCACGGTGGCCGAGGCGCAGGTGAAGCAGAACTTGATGAGCAGGCCGACGGCAACGATGGCCTCGAGCGGGCGCCCGCCGACCACTCTGGCCATGTCGGCCATGTTGACGACGTGCGGGTGGGCGCGGTAAAACTGGAGGAGCACGTAGGCCGTGTACGTCGACAGGAGGCCGATCCCTATGATGGCGATGACTCCGGGCACAATTCCCAGTGTTGGCAATGTACCGGGAAGCGAGAGGATGCCGATGCCGACCTGGTTGGTGATAAGGAGGATCCCGGACATCCAGCGTCCCACGGTGCGGTAGTTTTTACCGCCATTGCTGAAGATATTCTGGGCTTGGACGCCTGCCTCGCGGTCTCCTACCGTCGCCTGTTTCTCCTCGAGGGCGTGCCATGACCCCGTCGACCCTTGCGGGGCAATGCCATTGCCCACAGAGCCGTTGTAGCTTTCTGAAGAGTTCGAATTGGTTGACTCGTCCCGTTTCTCGCCATTCGGCTTTCGAGTGTCCGCCACGGCCGCGTCCTGACGATATTGACCGTTCATCGTAGGTGAGAGCACATGTAGTACTCTGGTGAGGATGCTTTAAAGCCGTCACGGGACAGGCGGAATACTTTGTCACGCTTTCGGAGTCTTGTAGTTGGAAATCCGCAGTATGAGAGTGTGGTTACAAAAAAAGGGGCGCGACAGGAGAAACGAAACTGTTTGACAGAAGTGTTTGACGTGCCGGAACATGTACAGGATGGAGCCCCATTACATTGATAATAGGCCGGATGCTCTCCATCACTCCGTCATGTAGGATCATCAGAAGCCCACAAAGTGATGAAGATCCCAATGATGAAGTTCGATAAAGGAGACAGACTACCTGGCATAGGTGGCTCATGCCCGCAAGGGAAGAACGGCAAGGTCCATGACGGAGGGCCCAACCTACAATCAAAGATGCCGTGTATGTGCGAGTAGAATACAATACCTTGAAGTCTGACGTCAAACCGTCGATGGTACGTGTAGGGTCCCCAGGGCCCTCTGTTTGAGACTCAGCTGGGGCGTCATCGTTGCCCATCTTCGGACTGGAGACACCATTGGCGACATGGCCTACACTACATGTAGTAGTGTACACTAAGACGCGGGGACTCCTTGACACTGACGGTGTGGGGAAGACCGGGGGCATGCCGAAGAAGAGACCGGATGAGCTGTACGCATAGAGATAAGGTACGTTGTATGCGGTGAGAATCGGTATTGGTGGGCTTGCCATATCCGAACCGATGACGACTCGGGCGAGAGGCCGGATGCGTGGTTGGACACCTCTGCAGTCGTCATTGTCGCCGCGAAGTCTGTTGATCGCTCCCCGGTTGCAGCAAGTCACTGGAGTCACTGCGCACTAAGAACCGACTGAGCATTTATGAGAAAGAGATTGGTCTTCTGTAGCAGCACTAGTCTGCCTCTCAAGTTAAGGCGAAAATGGAGAAGTGTTGTCTTATTGCCTTTGTGAGGGCAGTACAAAAATGGAGGAGAGCAAAATGATCGGGGAAGAGAAAGAGACATTGAGCAGTTGCCTGCCGACTAAGGACGAGATCCACTATGGACTTCGTGCCGGCTGATTACGGTACGTACCTACATGTACTCCGTAAACCGGCCAAAGCCAATGACCGGTGAGTCGGTAACGTTGTAAGTTCGGGGTTAAGATGATTCTTCCCTTGATTCGTTTCCCGTTCTCGAAATACTTTAGCAGCACGCTCTTCTTAATGGCCATCGTGTCTGCCTAGGGGAAGCGTCGAGACAGAGACGACGAGCTAGATGGAGTCTTCGGAGATTGTATGTTATCCCCTTTAGCCGCCCACCACGCAAACCCCAGAATCTCACTTCTCAGTTGTATCTTATGTGAAAGCAGGAGAAGAGATCCGCCAAATTCAGAAGAGTACCTATCCGTACTCCGTACCAACAGACAGTAGGATTGATGATAGTTCGGCGTTAGGCGATTTCATCGCTTGGTGCTGCGAAGTCATGTGATCGGGGTTAAGAGGTTCGGTCTTTATCGGCGTTTGTGCCAGATCCCAGGAGAAGCAACTTACAGACCAACTGGTGTGTTAGACCACGACAGTTGCTTAGATCTGTGTAGTCCGGTAAATTCGCCCGTATCGTCGTGTGTCTCGTAGAAAATGACAATGACAGGTATGGGGAGGAGGAGTATATAAAGGAGTCGTATCCCACTGCTCGACTTGAGCTTTTTGGACAGATCTTCATCCAACCCAAGTACAAGAGTATTCTCAGGTCTCGGTTCTCAACCACTCCCCTCCCATCATTCCAGACCAGCAGTGCCAGTCATCTACCCACCCAAAGAAACCCCCTCTCGCCGCCGCTGCAACAATGGGCTCAACAACGCAAAAGGTCTGGCTCATCACGGGCTGCTCCTCGGGCTTCGGCAAGGAAATCTCACTCGCCGCCCTCGCACGGGGTGACATCGTCGTGGCTACTGCCCGGAAGCCCGAAAAGCTCAAAGCCCTCGCGGCCAAGGGCGCCATCACGGCGAGGCTGGACGTAACGGCCAGTGACGACGAGCTGGCCACCATCGTCAAGTCTATCGTGGAGAAAACGGGCACAATCGATGTTCTTGTTAACAACGCCGGCTACATCCTTGCCGGCGCCGTCGAGGAGTGTAGCAGCGCCGAGGTGCAGGCCCACTTCGACACCAACGTCTTCGGCCAGCTTAATGTTATCCGCGCCGTACTGCCTATCATGCGCCGTCAGCGTAGCGGCGTCGTCGCCAACCTCGGAAGCATTGGAGGCTGGCACGGCATGGCCGCTGCCGGCCTGTATTGCGCGACCAAGGCCTGTGCCTCTATTATCTCCGAATCCCTGGCTGCTGAAGTCGCCCACCTAGGCATCGCCGTTACTTGTATCGAGCCCGGATACTTCCGGACGGATTTCCTGTCCGGCACTAACAAGCTTCGCGCCGCGAATGTCATCGACGATTTGGTACCCGGCGTTAAAGACAATATTGAGCTCCTCGAAATCGCCAATCAGAAACAGCCCGGGGACCCAGTCAAGGCCGCTAAGCTCATTGTTGAGGCTCTGACAGGAACGGGGCCTTGCGAGGGACGCAAGCTACCTCCGAGGCTGGTCGTGGGGAGGGACGCCTATGGCATTGTCAAAGGATGTATCGACGAGAATCTGTCCAGCCTTGAGTCGTGGAAGGATTTGACTACGACGACGGACTGTGATGACGTTGTCGCATAGACTGGGTGGCTGCTGTGAAGGGGCATGGCATTATTGATACATCGATGTTCGAATCTTTTAACTTCGTGTATATACATGTAATGCAACAGATATGTACCTGCTCCCAAGTTGCCTCGAAAATTGTGATGAAATCAGGTTAGAAGAAAGCATAAGGTGGTACATAGAGGTCGTCGAGCACATTCCCATGCATCCCGTCAGAGGCAGTGAGGACCACGAACAGTGCATCCTGAGTTCACGGAGCTGGGATGCGTTGCTCATGCCCAGACTTGAGAGACGTCATTTTGGCCAGGTTGTTGGTCTCTCTGGAATTAACCATCACAACAAAGTAAAAGGGGGTTCAATTTCAGAATATAATGGAAGAAGACTGCGGCGGCTTCATTGACTTGTCTTATTATTGGTATTGAGTGTTGTACGAGAAGTAATGGAAGGTTTCTGTCGCAGGGGGTTAAGGAAGGGAAAAGGAGACATGCGCTTAGCTTGGCATTCCTATTATGCGGCTCAGCCTTTCCGCTTAGAATAATGCTGCTTATTAAGGTCGACGAATATCTGTTAATCGAGTGTATATTCCTAGTGTTTCGATTACGCGAGGATTAAGTAATAACTCCAAAGCCGAGCTTCAGCCTTCACGATCGTGTACTGAACGACTCCACCCAGTCGGCCGTCCAACTTGACAACGTTCCAGCACCAAGCAAGCACTCAATTAGGATCCAACGACCCCATTTGCCTTCATCATGGGTTCCAGCAACGCGCCAACAGGTCTGACTCCCTTTATATACAGGGCTAAACTGCATACATGGCGCCCTTACCTAATGATTCTGACTGACCTGTTTCAAACTCCCAGGCCCTGCCACGCGCGAGGAGATGCGCGATGCCAAACTCCCGCTGGCCTACCGAGACAGCTGCGCCCACCTCCTGATCCCGTTGAACCGATGCCGTGTCGACACCTGGTACCTGCCATGGAAGTGCTCGGTGCGTCAGCTTTAAACCTTCTCAGCCCCTGCTCGAACAAGACATGAATACATCACGGCATTTTTGTTCCGAATGGAAGCGAGCTGACTCGCTGGTCTAAACTGTACAGGATGAACGGCACAGCTACGAGAAATGCCAATACGACGAATTCAAGAAGCGCGTGGCCAAGATGGACGAACTGCGAGAGAGCAAGGGCGGAGCGCGATCAAACTGATCGCCATACCTGTCGAGCACGAAGAGAACGAGCTACAGAGAGGATGTGTACATATACAGATGTTTGCGTGGTGAGGGACGCATCGGGAGGGCGGTTATAGACGGGTTCAATCTATGCCATTGTGTCTGCAGAGAAGCACCAGATCACTGCAGTCGAGGTTCGCCGGGTTCCTCGTTTTTCACCTGGAATCGTGATATGCCAGGGAAGTTCTTCGGCCATCAGGGACAACAGGCAACAACGACAGCACTAAATCAAGATCCGTGGACACTGGAAGATGGAGGACAATACGGGTATCTAATGCTAACAATGGTACAAAGGAAAAGAGATGTGCTAGTCTAGTTGTTTGACATGAGCGTCGTCCTGAGTTGCTGGAGTGTCCCGGCTGCTTTCAGCGGAAGTAAGTGAAATTAAAGAATGATGTGAGTGTGTTGTACAATCTGAGGGGGTACTGAAACTTGGGTTGATGATCCATGCCAGATGAATACCAATAACCGCAATTTAGGGCCTTCAACGTTCACCCGACCCCTCCGTGCCCCAGGACCTAGAGCCTGAGTGAAACTTCGCATACCTCTGCGGACGGAGCTAGGACGCGACTTTGACGAGGGGCTCCCACGGCTTAGCGGCGTTCCAGAGATAGTCGGACTGCGTGCCGTCGTCCGAAGGAATGGTGTACTTGACGAAAACAGGCCGCTGGATTCGCAATGGCGCCGGGACGAGAGAAGGCCTGCTCGGCGCAAACGATGCAGCAACGGAAGCAGCAGCAATAGAGCTGAGAAAATCGTCGACGAGGTCCTGGTACTCTTCCAGGTGGGGAAGGCACTCGTTCACGACGATCTGGAAGCGGACTCCCTGGATGTCAATGACGATCTTGTTGACCATGGCCGGGAACCCGTATGACATGCCGCTGCTCAGGACCCAGGTGGCCCTGCGTTGGTCGCCATTGCTGTGTCCATCGTACCAGACAGCGGTGCCATGCTTGGACGTGTCGCGGAGGATGAGGCGCTTGTCGGAATCGAAGGTCAGGTAGCAGTGGCGGCGGCTTATCCCGCGCACGCGGGGGAGGACGATATCGCAGGTGTGGGGGTCGGTGCCGATGACGAAGCCGCGGGAGCCCTTTGGCTTGTGGTCGAAAGAGATACCAAGGCCTACGCGAGGGAACATGGGCGAGACGCAAGTTTCGTTCTCGTTTTCGTTCTCCTTCTCAGAGAGGAAATCTTCTTCGGGGTCTTCGGGGATAGAGTCGAGGTTGGCACGGGTTACCAGCGGAGCCAAGTTGACGCGCCGGGCGCTGTTGGCTGGGATGCGGGTGGCCTGAAAAGCCCATCTATTCCCAGCCGACGGGATGAGCCACGCGATGTTGTGCAAGGATGCCGTGTCCATGTTGGGGAATAAGAGAATAAGAGAAAGAGAAAGTCGTTGATGCGAACTTATTAAAGGAGATTGATGTGTAAGGATGAACAAGGGCTTGAAAGTAGTAGAAAGTAGAATACAGTAAGGAATGGCGACAGTGACGACAACCTGAGATGTTTATCACTGGGAGACGGCTCCCGAGTTGTTCGAGCCGAGAAAGAATGTAAATGGCTGCGAGATGAAAGACGAACGGACTTATCGAGACAGATGTTTGGGCACAAGACGTACAACTTCCATGAAGATAGAGAGAGCCTTTATATGTTGTGAGCGATGCCTATGTTGGTGACTGCAATGAAGCAATGAAGGGGGGGGATATGGATGCAGTTCGCTCGTGTTGGAGTTATCAAAACTTCGATCACCAGTCCAACGGTTGCCACGATCTCCGACAAGAAACCAAACAACAAAGCAGAGATAAATACGCCAGGTAGACTTGGACAATTTCCGAACCAGGAATGGCGAGCTGTTGAAACGCGTTTGGAGTGCATTCATCCTATCGTGAACTCGGTAGCAGCGTGGGATGCTGCTGGCCAATGGATTCCAGGCTTATGCAGAATGCGCGGGATCACTACTGGCAACGGCGGAGCTCGCTGAGCTTGATACACAGAGTCAAAACAATATACCGAGCGAATAGTATCGAGGAGAAACTATGACTCTTTCTTCACCTTCAACTTCGAGGGCGAGCGAAACCCTGCTGATCTCGTTTCTTAGGTTGAGTGCAACGGAATAGATGGAGGGCCGGCGATGCTTTACTGGCAGCACAAGCACACAAAGACTCGTGCAAGGCGCTTGGATATTCTCTACGATTCCTTTGCCTGTTGATTCAGAAGAAGAGCCCGCGGCCAAACATCTCTCTGGATTGCCCTGTCTTAAGAAGCACATCGTCAGGTGGGAATGAAGCCTACCTGAAAGCTGTTGTAAGTCCTTGGGGGAGTCCTGTTGGTCGTACGCAGCACTATGCAGGAACCGCCTGCAAGCTGGGTCAGAGGAGTTGACTGTCGCAGGACAACTCACGTATTGCCCCTTCCACGGCCTGTGCTCACCTTGATTCGGGTGTCCTAATTATAAAGAGACACACGACGATGGCGTTCCCAAATTCTTTGATTGCTGAGATCGCATAGGGTGGGAGGGAATCGATCGACGGGTGAAAACAACCGAAGCCTGTTATGTTCGGGAGGTACCGAACGATGCGCTGCTTTCACAATGCCGAGTCACTGTCACCTAAAATTCGAAAAAGAGCATGTGAACTACAGGTACCTTAATCACCTGCTCTGTGTACCCAGTGGGTCATTATTAAGAAGGAGCGAATACGGAGTAAGCAACGTCGCCGGTAATGCGGGTGAGAGACATTGACCCCTCGTCCAATGTCATTTTGGGGAGACGGAGAACCTCGGCGAAGGCGGGAAAACGCACCATTGTATTCGCTGAATAAGGCGTCCCGGAGTCTCGGAGTCTTGACGTGCGATTTGAACGATTCATGTTCTTCTCCCTACACGTACCTGATCACAGATCACTGCAATTACCAAATTACACTACGTCCTCACTTTTTGCCAGTCCCCATACACGTGGAATCCTAACCAACCCGCTTTTTTGCCTCCTCGCTATTTCCCACTCTCCAGTCATTGGGCCCTCTCAACGAGCATTCGACCCTTTTCGCATCGCACCCTCTTGACTAAAAAGGAATTAGAAGAAGAAAAAAGCAAAAGAAACAGAGAAAGAGAGACAGAAAGACAGACAGACACACAGACAGACAGACACACAGACAGACAGACACACAGACAGACAGACACACAGACAGACAGACACACAGACAGACAGACA